CTGGAAGAAGAGCTTTGCTGGGGCAGAGCCAGAGGGTTGGGGCGGGCCCAGCGAGGGAGGGGGCGGGGCGTATTCGCCCGCGGCCGCGGAATCCTCGGCCTGCCCGGGTGCCCCGCCTGCGGGCTGGGGCGGGCGCGCGGAGCTCCCAGCTCAGGGCGACCCCGTCGTAGCCCCTGCACGCCACAGCGCCGCCTACGGAGCAGGGGAGAAGAGGCAAGTCCGACCCCGCCCCCTGCTCGGAGCTCCGGGAGGTGGTGCGGGGGCGGGACCTGACTGAGCCCATTGGTCCGCGGAAGGACTGCCCCGCCCACGGACTCGACAGGATCCCTCCCAAAAGCGCGTCAGCGGGTTATTGTTACAACCCGGGGTTTCCCAGGGCAACGGGATTGGGGCGGGACTCAGAGCCCTGGCCCCGCCTTCTCCCCCTCCCACAAGGAATGCCCCGCCCTCTGTATCTAGACCCTTGATGTTTCGAAGTCTTGGTTCCAAGAACCTTGGCCCCTGTCCTTTTCTTTGTGCCTTGAACTGGACTGGGGAAAAGGAATTGTTCAAGAATACCTGGGTTCTAGGCCAGCTTTTGCCACATGCTAGCTTCTCCATCTGCAAATGGGTTCTCATGGATGCTTATGGTGCCTGTGGGTAGTTTTAGAACTCTGGTTCTCAAAGTTCAACGTGAAGCAGAATCATCCTGGAAAGCTTGTTAAAACAGATGGCTAGACCCTAGCCCCAGAGTTTCTGTTTCTGCAGATCTGGGTTGAGCAGAGACTGCATTTCTAATAAGCTTTCAGATGATGCACCAGGGATCACACCTTGGAAACCATTGTCTTAGAATCTGTGGGAAGTTCTCACAAGGCCTGTTGAAACAAGCTAACCCCAAAGTTCAGAGTATTTGGGGAAAAGCTTCTCATTTGTTTAACCTATACTTATTGAGCACTTTTGATGCCCCTGGTTATGTCCAGGGCACTATAGCAAAAGAAATCACTGACACAAATGAGGTCCATACTACACAGATGAGTGGAGGAGTCAGATGTTAATCAGATCATCACTATGACCTCAGAAGGGAGAGGCTAGCTGAAAGGCTGGGCAGTCCATGACCTCATCCCATAGGGTGATAGGCTAGGTTTCTAGTCACCACTCCACCTACCATCCTTCTCTTGGGGTATGCCCTCTGCTTAGAAAATGCTTTCCCCTTCTCAAGACCCTTATCAGAAAGCCTCCCTCCCATTCTTCAAAACTCAGTTCAAACATCAACTTAACCCTGTGACACTTCTCTAACCCCAACTCTCATATGTCTCTGTTGCCTGCTTGCCCAGATGGCTTGCTGCTCTGTTAGCAATGCCTGGATCCTTTCAGCACAATATTCCTGTTTTGCCAATCAGGAAACTAAGGCCAAACGGGAAGATGACTTTCCCAGAGAGAATGACCAGGTCTAGAATCCCAAGCTCTTAATCTCTCTAGCCAATACCTGATTCCTGAAGGGGCAGAATGTGCAGAGTTCTCTGGGCGGTAGAAGGGCTGTGCCTCAATCATAACAGACAGTCCTCTGGAGAATTCCTTTCTTGCAGTTTAGGTCCCAGAGAGTAGGGCTAAGGATGAGGATGTGGGTGGGGCTGAAGGGGCTCCTCCTCACCTCCCAGGGTGGGAGCAGGCCTAGCTTGCAGATGCCTGGCATGGCATCTGCCTGAGTCACATCCCAAAGGCAAGGGTGGGCATGGGAACTGTTGGCTGCCCCCCTATATACACACACACCCTCCAGGTGGTTCTGTTTAAGGCCACAAGGGACTGAAATCACTGCTGGACCCCCTTCCATAGCTCTCATGTACCCTCCCTGTCTAGGGGGGCCACAATAGGGGCTGTCCCTTCGGTAACCTGGAGGCCAGGCAAGCCTCCTGCCAGCCTTCAGCCCTAGCCCAGCTTTAAGCATGAGATGGGAGCTTGCTTGGGGCCATACCAGGGTTGGGAGGAATCTTAGCTGGGGGCCCTGGCATAGGCTGCCACTGCAGTGCTAGGAAGCCAGGTTGGCAGAGATGTCCTGGTAGCTGACTCAGGCTTTGTTGGGCCCTGCCTTGCCCAGTGTCCACAGCTGTTGCCTGGCCTCTCCTCTGGGGCCATGTCTGACACACTCATCTCTCTCTGTCCCTCTCTCTCTCACACACACACTCAATACACCCACTGGTGTGCAATCACAATTTGGCCACTGCTCACAAATCATCTTAAACGAGTCTAATAGTGATTAGAAGTATGGGCAAGTTGCCTAACTGCTCCAAGCCACCGTTTTCTGTTCTATCGGTGGGTGTCACAATAGAGCTACCTTACAGGGTATTTGAAAAATGAAATAAGATGTCTATTATCAGCCTCAAGCTCTCAATAAGTGCTAGTTGTTTTTCTTACTGTCCTTGTTTGTATCTCCCCTCCTGCTTCTCAACTCATACATGCCCACCTGCTCTTATCATGCACACTCTTATCCACTCACACTCACTCACACTCACTTCCACACTTATCACGCGTCCTGCACTCAGGTGCAGTTCCATAGCCTCACCCCACACCTTCCCAAGTTTTTCTGGACCCCCTGCCCCCACTCCCTTCCCCCACGGGTGCTCTCCAGCTCCCGTGTAGCCTCCCTGTCACTCATTCCTACATTCATTCCTGTCACCAACAAGTCCCCACTTGCTTACCCTTTCATCCTTCCTCCTTCCACATGCAGGCCCGCTTGCTTCCACACCTTCTGGAGTACTTAAACATGCATTCCAGTGCCAGCACACTCGCTCAGCACACTTGTTTTGTGTGCCTGACCCACTTGACTCACTCACATTGCAAAGTTTTACGCCTCCCCCCAAACTAGCCTAGCGCAATCCTAGCCTCAGGTCCACCCCCACCCATGAAAAGCCCAGACACTGGACTCCTCCTAACGTCAGGCCTTGGCAGACACCCCCACCCTGGCCACAGGGCCTCTCCCCTTGCCCTCAAGGACTGTTTCCTCCAAGCTCTTTTTCCTCCTCCCATTTCAGCTCCTGGCCCCTCCCATCTCCCAGAATAGACCCTGCCACCACTGTTGTTGCCACTGCTGAGCTGTCAGGGCCCGCCAGAGCCCGTGTCCCCAGTGCTCAGTGCCAGCTCTCCCAGCTCATCCAGGGCAAGTGAGGACAGGAAGACAGGTTTCTCTGAGGCCTGAGGGTGGAGCTGCTGTGGACCCTACCACCCCTTCCGTAACCCACCTGGAAGACAGTTAACGCTCAGGGTTGGCTGCTACCACTTGCACAAGATTTGGAGGTGTTCCCTGATCCTCACCCCCCCACCCAGTGAAAGCAGAGAGTGGCCTCCCTTCCATCGGCTCCGAGAAGCCAAGGTTCTGGAAGAAGAGCTTTGCTGGGGCAGAGCCAGACCTCTCCAACCCAGTCACTCCCGGGCCCTCTTGGGGGGCTCCGGGAGACACCCCCAAACCACACAGTTATCAAGGACCCCATCCTGCCTGTGCTGAGCAGACTTTGGTTGACATTTGATGCCATAGTTGTCAGGGTAAAAAGAAGAGCACAGGGGTGATGTCTGGGGACACCTCTGGAAGGCAGGGAGGGGCTAGTGCCCCAGAGGAAGCCTCTGGGACCAAAAGTGTCTGCAGAAGCCAGAGGGGATATCAGGACAGCTGGGAGTGTCTCCAGGGTGGCTCAGGCCTGGCCCAGGCCTGGCCCAGGCAGGGACAGTGTCAGGAAGCGGGTGGGGCTGAGCTGGGGAGGCAGAGCTGAAGGGACAGTAGAGCAAGGAGGGCCCCATGAGAAGATCCGAGGCCCCTCTAGCTGCTTCCACAGATGTGCCTAGGGAAGAGAGTTTGGCTGGCTTCGTGGAGACAGCTGGGAGCAGCTACTGCTGGGTGCCCAAGACCGTAGGGCCCAGGCCCAAAGGACATTTTGCCTTCCTTGGCCAGGGGCTGCCCCACCACTGACAGGGATAGAGATGTAGTGTCCTTCTTAAAGGACAAACCTGTTCCATGCATCATCCTGCTCATTCCTAGGTTCTTATCCTACTTGGCTCCACTGAGCACTTACCAAATATTGGCACTGCCGAGCACCTGATGGAGACTCTGACTCCTTGGAAGCAAGACCTTGGTCCCTGCTGTTCACTGCTGTGTGTTTAGGAGGGTCTGGCACAGAGGAGGCCTTCCGTGGATAGGCGTGGAATGAAGGAATGAACTCATTTCATCCTCACAACCACTGGCAAAGCAGATACTGTTATTCCCATTTTCTGGATGAAGGGAGTGAGGCTGGGAGAAGGGAAGTGAGTAAACTATGTCCCTGAGACTACAACTGGGGTGTGGATTTGCTCCTTGTACCCAGGGGCAGGGGAAAACAAACTTGGGGGAAATGACTTCCCTTCTCTGAACCTCAATGTCCTCATTTCTGAAATGGAAGTGGCTACACTTAACCAGCGGGTAATCAAGATCCCGCAAGTAAGGTGTCCCTCAGAGCCCACGAAAAGGAAGTGGGTATTCCCTTCAGCCTTCACCTCTGCCTTTAGTTTGCCCTCAAAGTCTAGATTTTGGCAGGACCTCACCTGGGATCCGTGATGCTCATAAATCCTTCCTCCTCCTATACCTAGGAAAGGAGAAGTATTCATTTGTTAAGGCTGCGGTAACAAAGTGC